CATACAGAAAGTATATCTTTAGGATAAGAGATTGGCATCAAAGAAAAGCTATTGTCTCCCTCCTGGCTAGTCTGCAGCAAAATGTTCAATTGTATCGATCTTTCCCAATTTTGTGCTATCTAGATTAGATGAGCCTCTCTTTCCATTATTGAGGGATTATTAGAAGGATTCTAAAGGAGTATTTGAAAGATTCACATTGTTCTATTGATAACTTTCTTAGGTTGCTGTTTATAGCATAGGCCTGAAACTCCTCTTTCTTAACCTACCCATCCCATTTTACATGTGTAATCTCACATACCTGAGCAGGATTGAACATAGGAACTGTCCCTTCTGTGGGGGGTAGAGGCACATTATCAGGGTTGTACTGATGTCTGAAGGAACTAGTCTGAAATATCAGGGGGTAAATTATGAATTGTCAAGAGTAATCAAGAAAAGCTAGAAGTAAGTTACCTATGGTTTCATATATTTCTGAATTTCATATCCAATAAGTCCAAATCAAGATTATTATGGAAACTGGTAACTGAAACATTGGAAAGGTTCATGGTAACCTATCACTGGAATGTACTATACCACCAAAAGTGAAATTGCCACAACATTTGGCTTCCAACCTGGATTGCCAGAAAGTCTGTTTGACTAGATTTCTGACTTCCCCAATGACATTTTTTTCCAAACCAAAGGTTTCATTTTGTATTCCACACTGTTTTCCACATCTCACCTGATCACCAGCATCTGAAATGATAGTTGCTTCCATGCTGCTATGGCCTTGTGAATTTTGAGCTTCGGGAGAAATAACAGATACGTTTTTCAAAAGTAGATCATGATGGCTCAGATTTAAAGTAGTACAGGTTGTCCTCGGGGTGATATGGTGTAATGTCAGGTGACCACACAGACTTAAAACAGTGATTGTGGCAGTGCCAGCTGTATTGTTAGGTAAATCTCACATGGTCATAGCATCCTGTGGTCGTGTGATCACCATTTGTGACCTTTTGCCAACTTCTTGCCAATGACTTTGCTTGTCAGAAGCCAGTAGTGAAGGTCACAAATGATGTTGATGTGACTGCAGGATGCTGTGATATTGAAATTGAGAGGGCCAGTTGCCCAAAACCCAAATCAGAATCACATGACCATTCGGACACAGTCACAATTATGAAGATCCATCATACTTCCCCCCTCCCTCAGCACTGCGGTAAGTTTGAGAGGTCTTTCAGTAAAGACTGTGTGGAAGGAATACTTCTCTATTGCATCCCCTTGATGACAAAACCCTTTAGTTTTCCCTGTCTCCAAGAACCTGATACCAAAGGTTGAGGGGTATACCAAAAATTTAGGGTTTCATTATGAACAAAAAAGGAGATGAAATGCCAAAATTTTCTATGCATGAAATATTGTTGTTGTTGCTGCTGCTGCTGCTGCTGCTGTTGTTATTATTATTATTATATTTATTTCCTACCTATCTTGCCATTTGAGGCAACAAAAAAATCTTTAGTTATAACTAAACTAACAAAATATTGAGCAAATAATTCAGAAACATGCAGGGTTATATTTACCTGGAGATCTCTTGGGAAAAGGATTGCCTTCTGTCGGAGAAAGGGGAGGAGGGCAATGACATGCGATAGATTTTGTCTCATTCATAGATTTTGCCTCATTCATGGGTGAAACCAAAAGGGGCTGAGTGATTTTCTCCTAGAGAAGGAAAATATACAATAGTGATGAAATAAATTGCTGGCTATTACCTTCAACCTTCCTGAGAAATTTGTGGAACAAGCTTTCCCTTGAGATCTGGCAGGCCACTATATTTCCTTAAATCAGCAAAGAACTGGCATTTCTCACAGGCACTGGGATGGTAAGATTGGAGCCCAGAGACCAAAGAGATTAATAGTTATTGTTATGGATTGGGTGCCTGGTTTTTTTCTCTTCCTTTTTGAATTGGTTTATTGTTTGTGTTTTTAATACTGAAGTTCGCTACCCAGAGTTGCACATTACAAGAGGGCTGGCCATATACATCTTAGAAATAAATAAATAAATCCTGAAATATGAAGCAACCATTTGAAAGCACACGTGACTCCCAGAGGAGTCCTAGAAGAATGTGAGCTGTCCAATGGTTAGCATTAGTTGTTATGTAGGGACTCAACTTTAAGGCAAGTTTGCTCGTCCTTTGGAAGTACAAAGGACCTTGCACCAAAGGAGTTTAGAAATAAAGCAAAGGACCAAGATAGCTATGATAGGGCATTGCAAAGAAATATTTAATTTAGATGTTTCAAGTATACTTCCGTTGCATTTCCAATTTTCTTTTTTGCCAAGGGAAATTCAAAATGAAGCAAATTGATCAGAAGGTCTTTTTCCCACTGCTATTTTGTGAGCTCAGCCTATTCATTATATTGGAAAGTTCCTCTTTATTAACAATTATTATTCAAAATGCTTTAGGAATACAATTAATTCATCCAAATCTCCTGGGAGCAGCCCAACCAACTGAAAGAGACAGAAGCCAGATCAATGTGGGAAGAAAGAACTGATATACCATGAACATCACTAGGGCTGACACTTGTTGATACAAAACATCTCTCTTCATTTTTCAATGTTTTCTTGGACAGTAGAGTGCCTGTAATAAAAACTGTAGCCACATCTGGCCAGCCTGTTCAGTGTGGCGCTACTAAATTTATTCAATCTTTCCTGAAATATTTGAAGGGGGAAAACTCAATGGAGGGAGGAGTACTTCTGAAAACTCCTAGGTTCTCCTAAGCATGACCATCTCTCCATCTTATTCTTAATTACACCATTTTACCTATAACTGCTGTAGCACACATCGTCTGAGTTAATTATTTTTATTTTCTAATTGCCTCTCCCCCAAAGAAACCTAATTATATGTCATCTGGCTGTAAGTTTACTTCAGAAAGTGAGAAATGACCAAACTAGCCGAGAAATTGAAAGTTAACTTCCAAGCCAAGAAACACAATATTGTCTGAGAAAACCTGAGGATCGATTCCTGAAGACAAGTTTCAGGGATAGACAGTTCCCGGGGCCTTTTCTGTTGGTTCTTTTTCTTCCTCCTCTAAAAAACCATTTTCTTCTTCCCTCCTTATTCTCTGCTATTCTGGTTCTTGTCATAGAATTCTAAATAGGATTTGAATCCTAAACTTTGAAGCAAAAAAAGGCAAGATGTCTCATTTCTCTTAGTTATTTTAAAAGACAACTTTGGTCCTATTTAATACGGCAAGTACATATTTTTCATCACGTCTCTGATATCCACTGAATGTTAGGATAATCCTATGTGACTGGATCATAAATTTTCCAACAACACTACTTTATTCCAATACACCTTCATGTCTCCTTCAACCTCATTCAAATGCATCTCTCAAGTCTGGGTAACTATACAAATATATTCATGTAGGATTTGGGGGCAACAATTCTTACCAACTCAATATTAGATCCATATCCCTGGTTAGTTAAGGCCTCCTGGCAAGGGATATATGGTTCAAATCCAGGCAGTGATTAATTCCTGACAAAATGGGTGGTTCCGCCATTTCTTAAAGAACTGGTGGTCCAGCCCTACTTTCTGGAGAATTTTCATCCAGTCTCTTCCCTTTGTAGGGAAGGTTGTTGAGAAGGTAGTTGTACTGCAGTTTCAGAGGCCCTTGGAAGAAGTGAATTATCTGGAGTCTTTTCAATCAGGGTTCAGGCCTAAGTATGGGACCAAGTCAGAATTGATCATACTCTTGGATAACCCCTAGTGGGAAGAGGATGGAAGTAGTGGATCCATCCTAGTTCATCTTCACCTCTCAGCAAGAGGATGATATCCTTCCGGATTAGTTCCAGGAACTGGGAATGGGGAAAAATGTGTTATACTGGTTCTCTTACTTCCTCTAGCATTTGTTTCAGTCTGTGTTCATTGCAGTACAGAGGTGTCACAGGATTCAGTATTTCCTCCCTTCCTGTTCAACATCTAAATGAAGCCTCTGAGTGAAGTCATCCAACTGTCTGGGATGAGGTACCATGAGCATACTGGTGGTATTCAGTTTTATATCTCCACTTCAGGTTGCTGAATAATCTCATGGAGATTCTGTCTCAGTTCCTGGAGCTGTGATAGCTTGGGTTGAGTGCAACAGGCTTCAAGTCAACCCAAGCAAGACTGTGTGGCTTAGGTATTTTGGACCTCCTAGATCTAAGGATCCTCCATCTTTTGTCCTGGATGGGATGGTACTGCCTCTAACAGCTGTGGGGGTCCTCTTGGATTCAAGGTCGAGGAGCAGGTGGTAGCCACAGTTACCATATCACTACTCTTTGAGCTATTTTGGCTACTGATTTGCTTCTAGAAGCAATTAAAGGTACTTTAAAGCCCTTCCTAGCTTGGGATCAAGTTACATATGGGAAAGTGTTTTCCTGGTTGTTTCTACCCTTCCTGCCCAATCCAGCAACAGAAATATGCTCTGGATCTCATCAACAAAGGAATGGCGGTTGCCAAGGAGTTGAAGAGTTTTTCTGCTGTGGCATCCACCCTTTGAAACATCTTCCCTCCAGACGTTAGGTTGGTCCTGACTCTTCTGGTCTTGCTTTTGTGCCTGAACCTAAGGCTCTGGGTGTATTTGGAACCTATCTCTTGCTTGTGTTAATGATTGTTTATGATTACAGATGATGTCTTTTTTATCTTTTGTATTATATGTGTTTTATTTAATTTTAGCTATTTTTATTGTAAGCCATCCAGAGTTACATTTGCAAGAAGGGCAGTTATATAAAGCAACAACTTTAAATACATGTAATCCTTATTTGCCACTGCTTTCTTTTGAATCTTTTCTGACTTCCCAGTTTAGCTTACAGCCCCAAAATTTCCTAGTGGTTTCCATCCAAGTGTTAACCAGGTTCAACCCAGTTTTCTGAGATTACTCAAGATTGCCCAAGTGTTGCCTGCTATTGGTATCAGTAACTGCATTATTAACGATGTTATTATCCCCATACAATAAAAGTGCAAAGTAATCAATAAAAATAAGCAAGTATTTCTTTATCTCTAGGTACTGAAGAAACAAAAGGAATGAATGAAAAGAAATGCTAGAGAAAAATTAACCTGAAGCCAGGATAGGTGGAAGAGAAAAGAATCCAATAAATCCTTAACAACATCATAAATATTAACGAAACACTCACAGTGGGAACTGGAGGTACTATACGGTACGTACAAAGTTGGAAATTGAGGTGGGAAAGCAAACAGACAAAGACTGAGATGAGGGCAGTGGAAGAGAAGACGGCCAATACAAGAGACAACACATGAATAATGCATCTGTGGATTTTTATTTAGACACACCAACTGCAGGGTGCAAGAAGGAAGAAAGAATGTTCCTTCATGTGAAAACCTTTCTGCACAAACAAGAAATGTCAGAGAGGATCCTGCCAAGTTTTCACTTCAGCATGCTGTTTTTCTATCGGCAAACAGACTGTGGCGTTCATTTTTACTTACAGTTGTTCTTTTTTTACTTGGGTTCATTAGGGGCGCTCTAAAGTTTGATCTTCACAGTAGCTGAAAGTGATACAATCTGACAAAAGCTTTACTATTTGATTCTGTTGAGCATACAAGGTAATCCTTAAACTTTTTGTGTGTGCGTGTCAGATAAAGCTGTCAGTTCCAGCGTTTCCCTTGTAGTTCAGTCTTCCCCTCCCCACCACATAAGCCTCTAGCAGATATAATGCAAGATTCCCAAAGCCCCCAACAACTCCAGTATCTTACTGGTTTCCTACAAAACGCAAATATGCTGTGTAAGCAATAGTGATCCCACTTTTTGTATTCAGTCTTCCTAAAATGGTAGATCTAGGATAATATTTTCAAGCTGGGGTCCTTGGATGCTTTCAGAACTGCTATCAGTTAAAAGACCATTTGTGGTAGCTCCTGCTGTTCTGCTAGATTCTGCTGCTGCTGAGAAACACTAGATTTTTCTGAAGACACATTGCTGAAACCACCACTACCACCCCCAAAAAACCCCAAACTCTTTCTTCTAAAAAATGGAGCCTTTGTTACCTGAGAAACTGAAGCAGTTGAGTCCAAAGAAACAACTGGATTTTTTTCAGAAGTTTCTTCATCTTTATTTGCCTTGGAACGGAACCAACGGAACCAGCCAAAACCAGTAGTCTGGAGGGATACAAAATCTTGAGTGAATGTATAAGTATGAAATTCTTAACTGATGCGAAACTGTTAAAACAGAAAAAGGGTTAAAGCTTTCTTTTTGTTTTTAAAAAATGTTTAATAATTTAAAAAAAAAATGAGTGGAACATGCTGGGCTTTTCTTCTTCTAGACATAGAAGACATTGAGTCTCTGATCCAGCCATAAGCATGCCATAGGGCTTATTGTGTAAAATAGTGTAAGAAATTATGAAGGAGCAGGAAGAACTGGAATCTCACATTTTACTGTTGAGAATATGAGCCTTCCCCCAACCTCATCTTCTTCATCTACAGTGGTTTTTCATTCCTGTAATTCTTCTTCTGGTCCAGCATTATGTTTTCAAAAGAACCCAATTAAATGTTTCTGAGAAGCTCACATGTAAGCATGGAAACAAACTAATTTCCCTGTTGTTTGTCCTCATACCTAATCTTGAATGGCATGTTGGTTCTGAACATGAAAGATCCATTAAACTTCCATAGTCTGACTCAATCTGTTCTTACTTCATCTAAGCCTTATTCTGAAATCATATATAAGTATATTTTACACTGGTTCCATGATTGGATGGTTTCGAATGGCAATAGTGGGAAAGAGAGATCTACCCCTTACCTGCTACAATAGGGAGCATCTCTCTTTCCTGTTTAATATTTATGTAAACTGCTGGGAGAAGACCTCTATCAGTTTGGGATCAGGTATTGCCATTTTTCTGATTATACCCAGATAGGCGTCTCTACTCTGGCCAAGCTGGTGATATCAGGATATCATGGGGACCTGAAGGCTGTATGGATTGGGAAGAAATAGATTAAAGTTGAAGCCCAAGTAAATTGAGTTACAGTTTGTCCAAAAACATATGGCAGTGGTTCTCAATCTTTTCTTCGCCACGGACTTGCTTTAAATACCTTTTCAATCAAGCAGAACAGAGCTGGAAGGAACCTTGAAGGTTTTCTAATCCAAGCCCCTGTTCAAGCAAGAGACCCTATACCCTTGATGGTGAACCTATGGCACGCGTGCCAGATGTGGCACACAGAGCCCATTCTGTGGGCACGCATGCAGTCACCCCAGCCCAGCTCCAATTGCGTTTCTCCTTTGTGTTTCACTCAATTAATTCCAGCTTCTTGTGAAAGAAAAAGATCTCACAAAGTTGGAATTGATTGAGTGAACTTTTTCACTCATGCGCTTCACAATGGAGGAGAAGAGATCCTGTCCTCCTCCTGAAGCCCATTATGACGCACAGCCACAATGCAACCCTGTGTCGACTCGGCTCAGAAAAAAAAAGCAGTTACTTTTCCTGCAGAGCTGCCAGTGTTGAGATGCCCCGCCTCCCCATCAACCAGCTGGGCTTCTTCAGGCACTTAGCTTGGCCACCTATTAGCTCCACCCCACCCTCTGCCTTAGCAAGTGGCGTGCAAAAGTTCGGCCGGGCTCCTCAAGAGATGGAGTTTGCAAGGGTCGATCTAGCACCCTTGCTGCTGGCTACAAGACAAACGTTCATTCTCAGCTTTGAGATTCCTAGTTGCAATGGGCAGCATAGCTAGGTTCGTCCCCTGCACCGATCTGGCAGACAAAACAGGAAAAGGTGGCAGAGAGAAACAGTCCCGTTGCCAAGGTACGTGCGGGTCGGAGGGGAGCAGAAATCCCAACTTCAGCCTCCTGGTGTGGGGCTGTGGGCAAAGGCTGGAAGGAAGCACCACTGGCTCACTCACGCTCTTTCCCTCCCCAGCCTAGCTTGGTGCAGGTGGCAACGCAGCTCACATTGCTCTTTCCAAGTCCACTGTCGGTGAAGCTGGGTGCTGGTGAGGACTGGCTTTTTGCCTAGCTTTGTCCGGCTGTCGGGGGGAAAACAGATGGAGACCTGGGGAGGAAGCCTGCATCAAGCTAGACTGGGAAAGCTGGCTGCGAGAGGAAGCCAGGTGAGCCAGACCCAGATGCTTCCTGAGTCCCCTCGTCCCAGAAGCAGCAACCTCGCATTCTCCCCTCTCTGCTAGCCTCCTTCTTCGCATGGGATCACCCAGCAGCGGGAATGGAGAGGGAGGAGGGGACGGCGTTCCTGCATGCTGCCATTTCTGTGTGGAACTCTCCCCTCAATGCTAGCGGCCATCACTGCCCCCTTCTCCCTCTCCGTTCCCACTGCTGTGCGATCCTGTGCGAAGAAGGGGGCTAGCAGAGAAGGGAGAGTGCGAGGTTGCTGCTTCTGGGACTCGGGGATTCGGGAAGCATCTGGGTCCACCTCACCTGGCTTTTCTTCTTCTCACAGCCAGCTTTCCCAGTCTAGCTTGACACAGGCTTCCTCCCCAGGCTCTCATCCATTTCCCCCCCAACAGCCGGATAAAGCTAGGCAAAAAGGTAGTCCTCACCAGCACCCAGCTTCACCGACAGCAGGCTTGCAAAGGGCAATGTGAGCTGCATTGCCACCTGTATCAAGATAGACTGGGGAAGGAGAGCAAGCACTGAGGAGACCGCGGAGGAGGGAAGCCAGGCAAAGGGGTGAGCGAGGGCCATCCGCAGCATGCTGGGCCTGGCTGACTTTCTAAGCCTGCCAAAAGCAGGGAGGAAGGGAGAGAGATCCAATATAACCTCTGTGTGTGTGTGTGTGTGTGTGTGTGTGTGTGTTAGAGAGAGAGAGAGAAAGAGAGGGGGGAGAGAGGGAGAGGGATAGAGAGAGAGAGAGATCCGATATAATCTCAGAGAGGTTTTTTTATTATTATTTGATTTATATGCCGCCCTTCTCCGGAGACTCAGGGCGGCTTACAGTGCGTTAAGCAATAGCCTTCATACTTTTGTATATTTTATACAAAGTCAGCTTATTGCCCCCACAAACTGGGTCCTCAATTTACCTACCTTAGAAAGGATGGAAGGCTGAGTCAACCTTGAGCCTGGCAAGATTCGAACTTACTTTAATTGCAGACAGCTGGTGTTAAATTACAGTGCCTTGTCTGCAGAGCTATCCAGGCTCCTATCCAGGCTGAGTTATATCAGGGCTGAGTTATATCAGCGTATCCAGGCTGAGTTATATCAGGGCTGGCAGCAGTGTGCTCTCTATCTCTCACACACACACACAAACAGGTTGGATCTTTCTTTCCTCCCACTCCCCTCTCCCGCCACACCCACCAGAGACCCCTGGATTCCCTCCCCAACCCTGCCTGTCTCATACAGGCACCATCCACATGAGTGATGTAGGATTGGCCATGCCCACTCAGTCACATGACCACCCCCAACCACGCCTACCAGGTCATTAGGAAAAACCTGTTGTTAAATTATTTGAATCCCACACTGGTAGTAAAACCTTATTATTCAGGTTAATTTGCCATATTGGCACTTTGCGATAAATAAGTGGGTTTTGGTTTGCAGTTTGGGCACTTGGTCCCTAAAAGGTTCGCCATCATTGCCCTATACCAGTTCAGACAAGTAGCTGTCCAATCTCTTTTTAAAAACCTCCAGTGATGAAGCACCCACAACTTCCGAAGGCAAGCTGTTCCATTGATTAATTAGGACATTTCTCCTTAATTCCAGGTTGCTTCTCTCCTTGGTTAGTTTCCATCCATTGTTTCTTGTCCTGCCCTCTGGTGCTTTGAAAAATAAGTTCACTCCCTTCTCTTTGTAGCAACCTCTCAAATACTGGAGACCACAGACCATGGCCACAGACCACCAAGACTGAACTCAAGATTTAATTATAACATTTCTTCTTTGCGGACCCCCTGGAATGACATCAGTGTCCCCCAGGGGTCCATGGACTGCAGGGGTCCGTGGACTGCCATATAATGCCTCTCTCTGAACCAGTGATAATTCTGGAAGAGATAGTCCTCCCTTTGAAATAACAGGTCTGTGATTTGTGAATCATTTAGACTCATGGCTATTGTTGGATAGATAATGGGAGATTATAATTAAGGGCCTTTGCTCAGCACTGACTGGTGCATCATTTGAAGCTCTTCCTGGAGGAGGCCTTGAGACCCTGATTCATGCCCTTGTCATGTTCCAGTTAGATTTTTGCAAAGCAGTCTAGACTTCAAGACTATTCAAAGACTACAACTGCTCTAATTTATCTATTACAGAATGAGAGTCATTATTCAGACTTAACACTGGGGCTTAGGGCTCTACATTGGTCACCAGCAGGTGTCAGGTACAATTTAATATGCTGATTTTGGCTTTTAAAGCCATTCATGAACATGTATTTCAAGTAGATCAAATCCATTCAGTTTCTGCATGATGAACAGTGACAATTAGGCTTCCTCCCTCATATAAGGACCATGGAAAAGGAGGAGACTTTGTCAATTGCATTTACCCTGTTTATCAACCTCCTTTCAGAAATCCAGATGACTCCATTGCTTGCGATTGACCTTTTGAAAAAAATTATTTTTTAAAAAATGTATAAATACACATACAGGTTAAAGCAAATAGATACAAATAGTAAATAAGTAAATCAATGATGGCCTCTTTTGCTAGATCTAAATTGATTTTCTCAGAACTGAAGCCTGCATAATACACACTGGAACGTAATAAATGAAATATATAATACGGCTTATTTCTTAGTTAATATGAATTGGCTGCCACAATGCAGTTATGTGTTGTATGAATTTCAGCATGGGTCAATTGCCTACAATGATCCCACCATCTTCAAGGTAGAACAGAATATAATCCTAGCATTCACAACTGCATAATTTTCAGATAATAACAGCCGAAATTTCAACAAGATTGCCTCACCTTCACTACCTCTTGCTCTATATTCTCCACTAATTTCTTCTCCGATGAGGTTTCATCCTGGGAAGCTTCTGAGGACTGAGGTGGATCTTCGGAAAGGGTTATTGTGGAACTCTCAGAGACAGTCCGGGTTCGTGCATTGAAAATGGCCTGGCATCAAAGAGAAAACAACAGCACAAAGTAACCTGAACAGAGCAGGTCCATAGAAACAACTAAATGATAGTTTTGTTTGTAGCCTAAACCCATAATTGGTTTATCATCCTATTTGTAAGACAAATCATTGTTTCCAGTCCTACAACAAATCAATACTTTTAAAGATGGAAAGTGGAAGATAAGTGACTTTCTCAAGGCCAACTAGAATTTAGTCTTAGTATTCAAATTTCACACATCCAATTTCATCACAGAACTGCTGCTTTTTATAATACATGAGTCACTAGTGGGATACACGAAATTGGAATATCTCAATTCAGTGTTCCCTAATTTTAAAAAGCAGAATCAGCAAGACAGGTGGCATATATATAAGAGCTAGTTTGGTGTGGTGGTTAAAGCACTGGTCTAGAAACTGGGAGACTGTGAGTTCTTGTCCTGCCTTAGGCATGAAAAGCAGCTGGATGATTTTGGGCCAGTCACTCTCTCTTAGTTCAACCCACTTACCAGGGTAGTTGTTGTCAGGAAAATAGGAGGAGAAAGGAGTATTAGATATGCTTGTTACCTTGAGTTGGCTATTTATAAAAGTTATGAGGGGGAATTAAAATCAAATGAATAATAATAAATATGCCATAAGACTTATTAAAGGCTTATTAAAATTGCCCACCTGGATGGCTTTGAAACAATAATTAGTCTAGGATTGCTATGTTTGCCAAAAAGAAGGGGGGAAAGTCTTAGATCTGACTCCTGGATCCTGCCACCATCATAGATCTTCTTCTCCCTCTCTCACCTGATGTTCTGGAATGTGTTTCTTTGGATCACCAGGAAAATGGTCCAGACCACAAGATTCCACAGTCTCCCCTGCAGGCCAAACAAAATTTCAGAGCACTATTCGAAATTGAGCTCCCGTAAATAGTGGAATAATATCCAAAGAACACCCTCATACCCTAGAAGCAGCTCTGAGCAACTAAAACCTCTGGCTTCTGATAAAGATACATTGCTATATATGGAAGGAGGCAGACAAAAACAGGTAAGAAACATTTTCACCAGGGGTGGGTTCTACTTACCTTTATTACCGGTTCACAGCGGGGCCATACACAAGCGTTTTGATGACGTTGGGGTTGGTGGGCGGAGCCTCCCGCCAGTTTTACTACTGGTTCTATAGAACTGGTGTGAACCGGGGGCAACCCACCACTGATTTTCACGTTCAAACCTTTTTCATTCCAATTTTATTTGGGAGGAAAAATAACACACTTTCTGCTATGATGATTACAGCTCCTTCATTATTTTACAAAAAATGTTAAACAATGTTAATTTTTCCTCATGTATCACTGTGTTAGGTATGGTTTTGTTACAATGGCTGAGCAGGTGAAATAAACTTTCTGATAGACCTATGAGGAATTTAACATTTGCTCTAGCATTGTAATGGTATCATTGTTTACAGAAGCTTATGACACAAATTTCAAATACACAGACACAAACACACACTCTCTCATGCAGTACCCCTTCCATTTGACTTTCCCTGTTTTTTGTTTTTTGTTTTCTCTCTCAGATGAAAAGCAGCACTGACATCCCATGAAGCAGGAGTGCTGAAGAATTTAGAAAAGAGGAGGAGAGAGCACGCCCTCTCCTGGCCAAAAAAAGTCAAGGCTTTTTTTCCCAACCTATTACAGTATTTCTGTGTTTGTTTTTAATACCTGGGCTACTAATCCAGGAGCAGAAAGGAGGAGATACTTGTCTCTTCCTTCTGTCCTTTTCTTAATAAAACTCTGCTCTCTGAACTCTCATATTTTCATCGGCCTCTGTTTGGAGACATTCTGTAAAAGAAAAATAGGATTTGGGGCCTGGGCGAGTAAAAAGAAAATGCATATATTTCACAGCAGGACCTGGCTCTTCATTTATAAAGCAACAAAAATATCAAACCAGTGTGATTAATGTCACATCTATTTTAGCCTTCAGTTTAATGTGCTTTTAGAAAGCAGGCAAACAAAAAAAAGGGTCTCATTGTTCCTTAGCAGCTCTTTTGTTAGACATTTCCTGAATCCAATCTGTGACCTGATTTCCCTACATAATTTCTTTCTCCTAGAAGCAATCACAAATGTCAACTGAAGAGCAAGACAAATGGTACTGTGGAGAAAATAAGGTGTACATGGACTGGGACTAATGGCAAAGAGGAATTACCAGCATGTATGCCCAGTGGTAATTATAAATAAATAAATAAATTGGAGGATCTCCTTAGCTCTTAGGAGCAAAAGACACAGAAAGAACCATCATCAGCTCAGAGATTAGTGTATATCTACCTTCACCCAGAGTGCCATTTAGATCCAAGCAAGAACATACAGGAATAGTTTGGAAATTGGCAGATTTATTGCAGTACCATCTTTGGAAATAATGAAATGGTTATTAAACAAGCATGATAGTGCTGAGTAGAAGATAGAGGAGCTAAAATAAGATCATTTTTATAACAGTAGGGTATTGTTATTGTTGTTATTGTTATGGTTAATCTTCAAATCGCAGATTTACAGTCTGGAACTGATAAAAATGTAACAGTTTTAGTACTAACCAAGAATTGTTAAGGTAGTTAAAGTTAAGTAGGCAGTTCCAAGTAAGGTGGGCTTTTTTGCAAAATCAGGATATTCAGATCCAATAAGTTGAAAATTCCTACGTATCTAGGCAGCCCTTTGGGTATTGCTCCAAGGACTCTTATTACTATTGGTACAACTATTGATTTCTTTCTCCATAATTGCTCAAATTCAATTTGCAAATCACACTATTTTGTTATTTTTTCTAGCTGTTTCTCTTCAATTTATGTATCACCTAGTATTGCAATATCAATAAACCAGACTTTTTTCTTTTCCACCATAGCAATGTCAGGCGTGTTGTGGGCTAGATGTCTGTCTGTTTGGATCCAAAAATCCGACATTATGCAGTATAAGTTCAGGGAATAAAAACACCAATAGGTTTTACAAGTTTATGGAACAGCCCCAGGATTTCAATGATTTGCTGTAAAAGAGTTGAGTAGAAAAAGACTAACTAAAGTGGAATGGAGTGATACGGGCATGTGGATCTCTGGCCTGCATCTCCCTGCTTAGATATTTCTTATTTTCCTGTCTTTGGGAAGGGTTTTCATCATACTATTTTCTCCCATTACACAGTCTTCAATATTACCCATAAAAATATATCATCCTTCTCTCTCAAACAATCCATGTCTTTCCTAGCTACCCTGAAATCCAAAGGATTAGCAAATGCTCCTGTCTTTCAAAGAGCCTTTGGGGTTTAACATCAAGATAAGGATTGTCTTCCTGCCTTCTGCCATTCAAAGCTTAAAAGAAATTGTTTAATGCATAAATACAGCTTGGCATTATCAACAATATTTGTGAAAAGAGACAAGCTTGAAATTAGTTATCTGAATTGAGTTTTAAATGTAGAATTTCACTTGTCTAATTTAATTATTTCTAGATCATTACAATCAGCAGAGGGAGAATATGGTGGTTTACCAAATGTACTTAAAACTGAAATGCTACTTAAAATTCTTCAATTGTCTTGTGTTCTATTCTTGAATGAACAATTATTTCTCTTCTTTTGTGCTTTCCTTAAGTAGTATATAAAAAAGGTAAAGGGTCCCCCGCACATGTGTGCTAGTCGTTTCCGGCTCTAGGGGGCAGTGCTCATCTCTGTTTCTAAGCCGAAGAGCCAGCACTGTCCAAAGACACCTCCGTGGTCATGTGGCCGGCATGACTAAACATCGAAGGCGCATGGAGCGCTGTTACCTTCCCACCAAAGTGGTCCCTATTTTTCTACTTGCACTTCACTCTCTACCCCTAACGTCCTTGCACGCCACTAGAGGACAATAAGGTGCAATAGGAACAAACGGTAAGTGTGGCCCTATAGTTCCTTCCAATTAAAGTCAACTAACAGAACATCATGGATAACTGCTGCAGAAGCACCCATCTTTACCTGATGGCTGTTTCAGATGTGAGGAAGGATCATTTGAAAGACCTCCTGAAAACAAAGTGGAATTTTGATCATTTTCTGCTGAACAAGCCTCTAAACTGGCAACTGTCCTCTTTGAAGGATGTCCATGTCCAGAATAGATATGCAACTGTTGATCCACATCTGGTTGGTGCCCACTTGAATTAACAGGTGATGGATGACTACAAGGATGATGCTCTAGATTCTCCCAGCATACCTCAGCTTGTGCAAACTGAAAATGAGGAGCCAAACCTGATAATCCAAGTTTGAATATTAGTATCATTCCCAACTGATAGATAAGAAAAAGAGGCCAGGAATTAATTATCTTATTAAGGTAAAAAAATTGCACTCTTAAATGGGTTAATTTAAAAGAAGATTGGCCTTGTAACTATAATTTGTAACCATAACCATTGAAAGGTTTAAATTTCTAGAAAGCATGTCTAAGATCAGACTGCAAATAGGATTATCTCTTCCACCAATAATTCTCAGGTACAGTGCCTCTATGCAAAACTGGTGGATATATTTAAAAAAGCAAATAGCTCACTGAAAGATTTGTGAAATGTAGAAAAGAGAGGGAGAACAGAATTAGATTCCAAAAAGCAAATTCATTCTTTTCAGAAGCAACCTTCTTTATACTGCCATTCTCCTCATCTCCAAAAAAGCCATGGCCAAAAGCTATTGTTTTTAGAAGGCTTTAGAAGGGTCACAGTATGACTAGAGTTAGGAGAAGTGTAGTCTTGTGAATTTCACTGTTTCCTTCCATCTCTCAATGGTAGCATTATGGCTTACTGATTCAATAAGATACATTCCTAGACAAATACATATGCAATTATAGCTGCAGACTTTCAATATAAATCCCCTTTTCCAAGTGGCATGTATACTTGAAACCAACTCAGTTCTCAAATGTTTCAAATCAAACTTGAAAGAGTTTAGTTTGGTTTAATCTGATGCATTTTAGAATAAACCTTCTGGGTACACCTGCCACAATTTGTTCTTTTGTTCTTTTACCTGATATTGATCCATTGCCTCTGAAAACCTCTGGCTGGGTAGATGTGGTGTTGGGAAACCCTCTTTGATCCTTAAATTAGATAAAGAGAAAACACACATAAAATCCAAATCCTGATAATGGTATAAACTCTGGGGCACCAGGTAAGTAAGTACAAAACAAAAACCCCTACTATAAAACCCTCAATTTCAACAAGTCAGAATAATATATTTACCGTATCTCTTTGTTTATTTAGTTACTTATTCATTCTAGGTATATGACTGCCAGCTTGCCAAGCAACTCACAGTGGCTAATATAGGTTAAAACATTAAATGCAAAGAAAATATAAAGAATAAGTCATTGGGAAATGAAATAAAATAAATAAAAAACACACTGCACTAGGAATTAGACACACAACATTAATAATTTCAATTTCTATCTCTAAGGAAGGAAACAGAGCACTAGCACCTGGGCGTTATTTTACCCCATTTATGGGTATTAATATGAGCTGAGCCAAGGTGGCACAGTGGTACTGCAGGCTACTTCAACTGACTGCTAGCTGCAGTTCAGCAGTTCAAATCTCACCAGCTCAAGGTTGACTCAGTCTTCCATCCTTCCAAAGTGGGTAAAATGAGGACCCAGATTATTGGGGGCAATATGCTGACTCTGTAAACCGCTTAGGGCTGTAAAAGCACTATGAAGTGGTATACAAGTCTAAGTGCTATTGCTATTAGTTACTCCATACATGTTTGCTATTTCTAGCTACATAAAGGAGTTTCTACTTGTATTGGCTTTTGAATCACTTTGCCTCTACAGTCATTCCTATTTGAAGACAAGGAATCTGAATCTGATGATAAAGGTTGAACACTGACATCCTTTGATATTAATTCAAATTCTGAGTTTGGGGCTGCTGGCAAACATCCAGTTTGACCATGTTTCTGGAAATTCCTGAAAATAAAAAGATTGCTGCTTTTTAAAATTAATCTGATGTCACTCCACCTACCACCTCTGGAGCAATGGCAGTTTATAAATCTTATGAACGAATGAAATAAGTAAATAAATTACTTATTATTTATTTTATTTTACTTATTTACTTTACTTATGTAAATAGGATATTGTTTCCCGTTTGGCTTGTTCTGACCTTCTTTTTAATCATCTAATTTGATGCACCTTTGAGATCTTGGGAAACCAATGCCATGCAGGTTAGGACTAATTTTATTATACAGTATATGTACAACATGGTGTGTATGTGTACTGTACATCTATTGGAAATTCATTTTGCAGCTTAGACCACTTTTTCCCCACTAGGTTTATAAATAGTGATGGCAGCTCTATTATGTGCCAAGTTATATTTCTCCAAACAATTCAAAACACTGCATGGACAGATGCCTATCTAAATTCTTTATTGTAAACACTGATCCAGATACATTAATAAAATAATCTAAAAGCAATCATCAATTTCTTCTGAAAGTTTCAGTAAATCCGGATCACAAATTATAGCAGATGCCAAAATAAAGTATCTGCCACTATATATTCATTATATGAGGGTTACAATATTTCAAGGGCAAGACTCTGGCATCTCATTGGTACCCAAGCAAATTTAAATATTTGCAACTTATCAGGGAAATCCAATTCCTTCTAGTCTATATATAGCTCTAAGGATTCCACATTCCCATGAAATCTTGCCTTCAATTTGGGCATATTGTGTTTCTGGATCTGTGGATGTTTTAGAAAAGGCTTTTAACTTCAGCTTCCTTTTAAGTTTTTGGAGCATTCCTCCTCCTCCTCCTATTTCATAGCTGCTGTTGTTGGGCATTATAATAATAGAAT